AACCAAGAGAGATTATGTAAAGGTGCAAATTTCCAATGATGAATGTCATTATATTGTATACCTAAAATGTACCAATAAAATAAACTTTTAAAAAAAATTTTTTTGAGAGTCTTGCTAAGTTGCCCAGGAGATCTTCCTGCCCCAGCTTCCCAGAGTTCTGGGATTGCAGGCTTGTGTACCACACTTCCCTTCTCAACTCTTAAAAATCCCCAAACTCCCAAGTAAACTAAATGGAAAAATCACAAGTTATCCCACATTTCATTGAAGGATAAGAATGGTAACCATATGATGCTTTCTTCTTTATCCTATTTATAGTTTGTCATGAACTTCCCCTCTTATTAACTGGCCACCAAAAGGCTAGATAGAATCAATGGTTTTTTTAATAGTTCAAGACAAAAAAAAAGTATGTTTAATAGTGTATATACTCATACTTAATTAAATTTCACAATTTTTATTCGAGACTTGACTAGTGGCAATCAATTGCTGGACAGTCTTAAACAACTTCAATTCTTAGAAATTATTGTGAGATTTGAGATAAGTTAATGTTTATTGTAATAAGTTTTAAGACAAATTTTCTTTTCCAGTTTGCCATGAGTCCATCTAACTTCAGCAGCAGTGATTGTCAGGATGAAGAGGGACGAAAAGGAAACAAACTTTATTACAGTTTTCCTTGGGGAAAGGAGCCAATAGAAACACTGTGGAATCTAGGAGATAAAGAACTCTTACACATGTATCCTGGAGATGTGGCTAAGTTACACGTATGTTTTACTTTGAGATTCTATGTGTTCTTTACCCAGATTATCTGAGTTCATTTCTGAACTATTCCACAGTAATTATAGGCATACTCCACTTTTACTATCCATTGCACAGAATCCTTCAGATCTAACCAGTTAGCCCAGTAATGCCCTTTGCAAGTCCAGGACCCAATCCAGGATCATGTATTTCATGTAGTTATCATTTCTTTAGTCTCCTTCGAATGAACATTCCATTTAATCTTCCCACTCTTCTATGATCTTGGTACCTGTCAAGAGTGCAGGCTTGTCACTTTGTAGGATGTCCCTTGTTACAGATTTGTTTCCTCATAGCTTCTGTGTTTTTGCTAGGAACAATGTGGAAGCGGTATTGCCCCCTTCTCAGTGCATCATGTTAGGAGGTGTAGGTATCAGTGCCTTCTTGAAGATGTTGACTTTGATTACTTAGTAACACAGTGTCTACTAGGTTTCTCCAATGTAAAGCTAATAAATAAATCTTTTGTGGGCAGATACATGAAAAGACTATGCACATAACCTCTTTGTCACCAGATTTTAATTTCTATTTGGGGTCTCAACTGATTATTCTTTTTTCTTTCTTTTTTTTGGTACTGGGGATCGAACTCAGGAACTTGTGCTTGCGAAGCAGGCACAATGCCGCTGAGCTAAATCCCCAGCCCCTCAACTGATGATTCCTACCCAAATAAGTTACTACATTTGCTAAATGGTAGGGCTTTCTCTTCTTCCCCATTTACTTATTTTTCATATCAGTATGGACTCGCAGATTCCTATTTTTCTCATAGGTTTATAATCTGTTACTGTAATATTTATTTTGATACTCAAATTGTCCTAGACTTGGCCAGTTTCATTTTCATATATCTTCATCATTCTCTGTGCTAGTAACTTGTTTTACACACACACACACACGCACACACACACAGGTTAATCCCATGGCCCTTATACTGAGCTGTATCCCCAGCCCTGTTTTTTTTATTTTTGAGACAAGGTCTCACTTGTTGCCCAGGCAGAACTTGAACTTGCAGTCCTCCTGCTTCAGCCTTCCAGAGTGCTGGAATTACAGACATACATCACCACACCCAGCTGATTCCTTACTTCATCTAATATTTTCTTGACCTAGCTGTAGAACCAGCCATTTCTCCAAGGAACCTTGGTTCCTACTAAAGGAAATTGTATTTATAAACTTAGATTTTGCCATGAAGTATACCCCTTTTAACCATATACCACTGTTTTAATTGTGTCCCTCTTGGGCTGGGGATTTAGCTCAGTGGTTCCGCTGCCTGCTCCACAAGCACAAGGACCCGAGTTCAATCCCCGGTACCAAAAAAAAAAAAAAGACAAATTGTGTCCCTCTGATGGACACAATTAGGAAATACTGTATATGACTACAAATATTTACACACTTTTTTTTTTTTTTTTTTTTTGGTGGTGGTGGTGGTACTAGGCATTGAACCCAGGGCTTTCACCTATATCCCTACTGCCTTTTTGGGGGTGGGGTTAGGGATTTAAGACCAGCTCAACTTGTAACTAGCAATTTAAAGATGATTTTTGTATTGTGGCTATTAGCTCTTATTTTATTTTTTATTGGAGTGATTTTCACAAATGAGAAGTTCTCTACTGCAGAATTTTTCCCCTTTCATGAAATTGTTGTTCTTCTGTTTCCATAGTTCACAAAACCATTAGCTGAACATTACAGAGTAAATAAACAGAATTTCTGCCATTAAGTATGTTTTTTTGAAAGATTTCTTAGGCTATCTTGTATTTATTTTTAATTGGTTTTACTGTTAATATCTAAATATATTCCTGGAGAGATTATTTTTTTAGAAAACAGAAAAACTATTCAGAACAGTTTTAGAGTTTCTGTTTTAGACAACAGAAAACTGAACAGTTAAGATAGAAAGATTTGTTCTGGAAGATATGAGAAATTAGATAGTCTGGCTATAAAGAGTTGCCATTGGATAGCTTGACAACCATGGATATTCAATTTTCAGAGAGTTAGAAATATTAAAGCTTTCTTCATAGTTAAATATGATTTAGTCTTTTATTTGACTCAAATGGTACCAGAGTCATGCAGTACCTCAGAACTATCTTACTAAATACCAGTTCTATAAATGTGTGAATGACATCAACTAGTGGAGTTAGAATAGAATCCCAGCTAAAAAAATTGACTGTTTTGAGGGCAAATTTTCATTAGTCTTTTAAGTATCACATGCAATTCAAATAGGTTTAAAATGTCAAAATGTGTGTATTTTGAAGACTATGATTGATCATAATAGAGTAATTAATAGAAATTGAGAATTTAAGGGATTTTTTTCTAAGTATTAAAAAGTCACATGGACGTTCAGGTGAATAATGATAATAGAAATTTTTAAAAAATGAGTCAGGGCCTGGGGTCCTGAGTTCAATCCCCGGTACCAAAAAAAAATAGAATGAGTCAGGAATGGGCGTGCACACCTATAATCCCAGCACTGGGGAGGCTGAGGCAGAATCGCCATGGGTTCAGGGGCCAGCCTGGACTACATGAGGAGACCCTATCTCAAAAGACCAAAACAAAAGAATGATAGAACTGTTTAAGTGTAAAACTTCAAGTTTTAGAATTGAAATTTTTAAGAATTTGAAATGATTTTTTTCCTCATCAGTTTAAAAGAGAGGACGCAGTTTATGAATACTTGATTTATATATGTGGTATAGTATTGTGTATATTTTATTTTTATAATTATAGCCTTAAGTAGCAAGTTTTTAATAGATGTTTATTATGAAAATAACCTTACATTTTAGAAAATTATACTGCAGACCCTTTTCCTTAAGCACACCAACTCCCCCCTACTCTTCTGACTTTCATTAGTTAATAATCTTCAATTTTTACTTAAGAGTGGTCCTTTTAGGGCCGGGGATTTAGCTCAGTGGTTTCACCTCCTGCTGCGCAAGCGCAAGGACCCGAGTTCGATCCCCGGTACCAAAAAAAGAGTGATCCCTTTCCAAATACCGATTCTCACCTCCGAAGTGTTAAGAAAACACTGATGCTGTGTAGATCCCAGTTGAGTTGGTTCATTGTGTCTGGAGTGAGGCCCAGGTGCTGTTGTGTTTTAAATTCACAGGTGACAGGACGGCTGAGATGCACTGATTTAAACTCTGCCCTCCCTGACAGCTGAGACTATGTCATCATCTTTGTGCCCAGTCCCTGGTATAGGCCTGGCACAGAGTGGGTTATTTGTAAAATGAATTTGTAATTTTGTATTCTGATTGGCCAGATCTAAAATGTGTAATCTTAAGAAAGTTCTGTTAAATGATACTTTATTTTGTTCTTCTCTGTGAAGGGCCGAGATGGGCGGAAAAGTGTGGTTCCTTCTGTTGTGTCTGTAAGCGGGGATCTAGACCGAGGCATGCTGGCTTACCTCTATGATTCTTTCCAGCTCACAGAGAACTCCTTTACAAGGAAGAAGAATCTTCACCGAAAGGTGCTTTTGATATTTCAGAGACAAACTTGGGAACTAAATATATGGGTGGGTTTTTTTCCTTTTTTATGTTAATTGTGCTTCCCTTTTCTCCCTTCATTGCCTTAGGTACTTAAACTTCACCCCTGTTTAGCCCCTATTAAAGTTGCTTTGGATGTAGGAAGAGGCCCAACTGTGGAACTAAGACAGGTGGGTTAAATGAGTATAAATGTCATGATTTTTAAGCATATACTTGTAATCCCAGCACTTTGGGAGGCTGAGGCAGGAGGATCACAAGTTCAAGTCCTGTCTGGGCAACTTAGCAAGGTCTTGTTTCAAAATGAAAAATAAAAATGACTGGGGATATAGCTCAGTGGCAGAGTACCTTTGGATTTAATATTCAGTATCACCAACTAATAATAATTTATGTATAGCCATCACTCTAAGTAAACTTGGTAACTTGCCATTTAAATTTTTATTTTGATTTATTTGCTTTTTAAAATATTTTAATTAAGTAATAGAACTGTGGGTAAGTGCTATGTGTAATTATAGGTAAGTTGAACTGTAGTATACTAAGAAGCTGAATATAATTCAGTGGAAGGGCTGGGGATTTAGCTCAGTGGTTCTGCTGCCTGCCGAGCAAGCACAAGGTCCTGAGTTTGATCCCAGTACCAAAAAAAAAAAAAACACACACACACAAACAAGAAATAGGAACTAGAAAACTGGAAATAGGAACTCATGTATCATGAAATGCTGATACTAAAGTAAAA